GTCATCAAGACGGTGTTGTTGTGCCATGTGTAGCACTAACAGATGCATTACTCCAGACCGATGCTCGCCTAGGCCAATCAAGCCCTTCATACCCGGGTTGAGTGAATGATTCCAGACTTTTTCGGGAGGACAGAAGCACTGACTTATCGGGTGGTCACCGCAAGACATCGCATACGCATGTCACTACGATTCTAGACTGAAGTCAAGTTCATGGTCCCATCAGACTCGATCAACACCAAAAAGTTTCATACTTATGATATCATCCAGGGATCCCGAGGAGTAGTCACATGGCTACCACTGAACCCTTTCACATTTCCATGATTGTACCCACACGATGTTGTGATTGTTACTAACACATATGTAAGCAGATATATTTGTTTGCGTAAACTGAAACTCGTTAGAACTCATTAGCTTAAATGTTTACGAAAATCGTCACAAAGTATGTCCGCCCACTGATGCCTTAATACCAAATTCCGATGTTTATGGGGGTAACCAATGTAAGGTTAAAAAGATTCCATAGTCATTCGTTATCCTGGTCATTTCACTAAGTAATTGACTGTTTTTGGCTAAAAAAAAATTTTTGGTGTCACTCACATTTCGGTTAAGCAGAAATTGATCATTTTTTGATTGATTATTGATTGATGACATTGATTTTTGTCCCACTAGTTATGAATTAATCAGTAGCTTTTTGCTTATCTTTTTCTGATAACGAAATTTTCTGTCAAAGTCTTCATCCTTGGTCTGGATCTTTGTCCGACTTCTCATATCTCCAGAGGCCTGAGCATTGCTAGGGTTCACAGTTCCGATTCCTTAAACGCCTTAACATCTTCGTCGTTTTGAAATTAAAATAGGTGTTAACTTCTCTTCCCTTCTGGATTGGAATGAAACGAGAGCGATCTACGTTACTATTCGGTAAATAGTGATACATACGTATACCATGTTTTTTTTTTTGAGTATTCCCAGTAAATGGGATTCGCAGGCTGAAGTGGAATTTGCAGACTTTTGTCACAAACACCCACATAGGTAATAAGCTGTGGGTATGCATTTCTCATTTGCAAAGTTTTTTCCTGGATCTTGTTACCTTGTTAGCAAGACACTAAGAACAATCAAAGCCTTTTTTTACAAGGGTACACTTGAGCAAGAAGCAACTCAGCTGAGCATCTCAAAAATCCAGCCAACCATGTCCAACTCTTTCCGTGCTGTTTATTCTCTTAGCGATTTTATTCAGCGCCACATTGGTCCATTGGTTTTATACATTTCATTGGTGCTACTTCGTTTTTTTTTGAAGTCTATCCATAATTAGAGTTGAGCGACTCGTTGAAAGTTTCTATCTACTCTTGACGAGCTATTGATCTCAATCACTACTTTGGTTTCTGATCCAACATCAAGATCTCAAAGTAATGAAAATTAGGCCCGAGGATTTAGCGTAAGGGAACTGGACCAAAGGCTAGGATTTCCTAAGCCGTTTTTCCAAAGTAGTATGAAGTTACATCACTTGTGCTCAAGTTGACATTCAACATAAAATGTTGCACTTTTCTAATGAATTGACTGACATCCGACGACTTGTCTTTTCCCATCCCAACCACAGTATTCTGACCCTTTTAATCCCTCACTCAGCTCAACGAAGAATGTTATGGCCCTTAGGTGCATTTGAGAGGAATTTCGGGTTTTTTGACGATTTGAATTCTTCTCAAGTCATTCATATTGTTGACCAGTCAAGTTTATCTGGAAGAAATCCTTTGCGGACAAGATCGAAAAATTTGAGAAGAATTTCAAGGAATTCGTTTGTTATGGAATTGCAAGGATAGAGTTCAATCTAAGCTTTCTCTTCCTTGGAAGGTCCCTAGAGTGCCAAAGAAGTCGGGGAAAGTTCTCTCTGTGAAAAGCGGGACTCTACTTTATGCCATGGAATTTAGATAGCTTCAGGTAGAAAATACTTTTTGAAACGATTGATTTACCGCCGTAGAATCTCGGTTCCTAAAAATGCGATCCTGGTAATCAAAAATTGTGTCCAAAGGATATCGAATACAGCATCCGATTGAATACCTTTTTTATTTTTTTTNTTTTTTTTGTTTTCGAAATTTGAGGGGAGTGAACTTTTTTCATTATTTTTAAATGTTTTTAAATGAAGCCATTTCTCTGCTCCGCCACGCACTTGTTTCTTGTCTGAATTCGTAAATGTTTGAAAGATTCCCTGTCTTTCCTCTTAGTCGTCAGGTATTGAGGCCAGGAAGTTTCGGTCGAACTAGGGATAAAATTTTTGAATTATTCTGTGATGGAAGTACCCCTTAGCCTTTTCATTTGTATCAGGCTTTCTAGTGACATCTGTTCTTGATTTCCCTATATTGTTTCTGGGAAAAACAAACCAAATACTGTATGGGAATTTGGATCTTCGCAAAAACTAGAACTCAAGTGTTTCATTCCGCCTTATATCTTCTTCCTCGGCTTTTAGGGATTCAATATTTCTTCTGCACTATATTTGGTTATAAATATTAGCTTCATTGCACATAATATCAACTTTATTAGGCATATACTCCCCGAAGGACACCCACTAAATTAGTGACGATGGATGAGACGTAGAAAAAAGGTTATGCACAGTGTACTTTTTCGCGAGTTCGGTGCATATATAGGAATTGAAACGGAGGTTCCCAACGAGATCTTTGATCTGAACGACTTTTTTGCTTTTTCAAGGACCAAATCCGTGGCCTCCGCGAAAGTTTATCTGGCGATCAGCTGATTGCATTTTGACAAATGACGAGGGATACCTCCCCTGGGGCTTCATAAGAGTGGGTGTTTTATGTATACCAAGATAATATCCTTCACTTTTTGTTTGCGTATTCATTTTTTACCCCTCTTACGAACAGTCTTCTGATGGATTCCACTTGGATTTTTTTCATCGATCAAGGGAAAATTCAAAGCCTACCGAGCAACACCCATGCGCTTCGGCACTGTCATAGAAATCCGCTCGAAANAAATATATCTTCCGGCCTACCTAGGATCTTGTTTGCGATGCGTTGAAGAGATGTAAACAAGTAAACATCATTAAGAAATTGATAAGTCTTCATGGTGGGTCCCTGTACAATGGCTTGAGCAAGATCGATAGCACTTCGTTCAAACCAAACATTTCTTAGAATTTCATTCATTGAGCAGTTTTTTTCTGTCCTTTTTTTGATAAAAATAAATGGGCTTCGAAAAAGGGCAACGCCAATTCGAAGAAAATAGATGAAACCACATCTGTAGGTAATGAAGGGACTTTGTCAAGTAGGAAGGGTGTGGTATTTTGCAGTTGATAATCCCGTTTTGTTCCATTTGACGTCGGTCCACTACCTTCACTTTATCTAAGTTGAAAGAACTATTCCTATGTTGTGTAGCGTCCGGCGCCTAATCCCGAGCGATACTCACATTGATAGGTGAAGTATCGTTCCCTTTGAGATTGCTCATTTGGTTCCAATCTCAGCTGAAAAATTTAAAGTCATGACTTGTATATAGTATGAACCCTCCTGAGTCATTCTGTAAGCCGAACGCGCAGACCTACATGGCATCTTGTTACTGCTGTTTTTAACAGAAGTACATGCACCAATCGNACGGAGTGGAGCAAGGAAGGTGTACGAGATGAGAAGGGGCTTCTTCGCTAATTTGTTCTTATACTAAGCGTCTCGGTAGCAACATAACTTCCAGCTTTTAATAAAACGGCGCACCCACGAAGGCAGTTCTCATCCCCTGGGTACCGATCTGAAGCGGTGATTTAGCACTCACTGATATATTCGAATTACCATGCTGATTTTTACCTTCTAACATTGCCTTTGAGGCGGGAAGCGAATTCTTTTGGCAACTGCTAATACTCGGTATAAAATAAGTTTGGTAGATCCTTGCCACATACTTCCCAATTGCCTCTAATTTTTTTTTGCAAATCAAGAGTTTACAATAAATCCCGCTCAGCCGATTTATTCGAGACGAAGAGCACCCAGAAGCTAGTTCAGCTCCGTTCTTCGTATTTGAAGACAGGCATACCGAGATGCTTGCAGGCATGACGGGATCGCCGACTTCTTACTTCGTGAGAAATTTTAAAAATAGTAATGGACGGTTCCAGTCACCAATATTCGAAAAACCATGCTGCTGCTAGGAATTCATCTGTACTCCTATTTTCTACGCACTAATTGCCTGTCTACGAGCAACTGTAGCATGCAGAACATAATTTCATTATACTTTTGCTCCCTGCTTTAATAAGGGCTATTTTTTAAGGTACTGAGTCATCTGTCTGCTCTCAGTCTGCTAGGCCAACATTATCTGAAAATTTCGACAGGCGCTAGGTCACTGCTCACTTGTTCAATGTTTATTTATTTTCTTATTACCCAGTCATTATTTACTTATAGGGGCATTATAGACAATACAATCAAACTAATCAACATCGATTGATTTAAAATCTTAAGCTCTTACTTGAAACTTAAGTAGTCAAATATAACTTTTGAATAATTCGTGAGGGCTTTACAAGATTTATCTCGCTATCGATTAATTGTATTGATTTTCATTTATTTTTCCTTTGATACTCCTTATCCTTCCATCCATCCTCCCTATTAGCTCACTAGTTCTTCCACTGCGTTCCTCCTCATGATGGAATATAGTTCTTCGTTGTAAATTCAGTTTGACATTTCGTTCCATAGTTAGGAATCAACGTGAAAACGTGTTCCAAATCGGTGATATAAAGATTAGCCCTTTAGTAATGTCACGACCAACGCCGGCGACAATTTTGGGATTTTAGACCTACAGGTGGAAGGAGGGGACTGTTTACCTGTAGTATTAGAAGTTGTGCGAGATGCAGCTTGGGCTTGGTTGTGACCACCTGTAGGACCACCTAAGGCTCTTTCATCCCGTTCAATACATTACAGAACTCTGTATATTCCATTCGAGGGCAATGTACGTGACAGCCATTAGTGCTGCCGACAGTAACTTTTCGCTGGCTCACCACATAGTTCTCGACGTTCATTCAACTCATTTCAGGAGTGATGAGCTTGTTCTCAACCATCCGTGGCAAGAAAGGAGTTCCGGGTATTGGTACGGTGGCTGTCGGTCCGATTGCAAGCAAAACCAAAAAGTTGGTAATACAGGAATGGCCAAAGTAAGTTTTATAACTCGACGGTAGAATGGTGAAGATCTGATGAATCCGATTGAAATGTGTGGCTCAAATTACTTATTACCTGTTTACTTTTGAATTTCTCCTTCTTGTACACAGAATCGTTAAGTTATATGAGCAAATGCATATTTGGTACATTCCTGACTTGGAAAAAAGACAATTTTCCATTGGAGCTTCATTTCTTTCGACTACCTAAATTGGCTTGATCATTGGCTTTTTTACTTAAATTCGATAAATTCAATTGGAGCTGAATTAGTTGGTTTCTTTTGAATTTGTAAAAATTGTCCGAAGAAATGGTTGTAGAATTTTGGTGAATTTTGGAGATCTGGTTGTGGTTTTCGAGTTTCTCAGCGGCACTTGAGTTGTTGCGGTTGTAAGTTGAATATTTTACTAATCACGGAGTGAAACTTAGTCAACATATTTGCGCTGATTGATAATTTTCCAATATTTCTCGCTGGTAATGCTTTGTATATGTTTACAATTTTGTTTTGTGGTGATTCTGATGGAGAATTGATGTTCTGAGTTTGCTGTTGCATTTCAGAATGCTTGAACATCAACCGAATCTTTTCGGTATTGTTTGGAGCTCATCAGCATGCCGAAGTAACTCTATGAAGGTAAGTGATTACTGAGAATAGGTACGGAAACGTTCCATGCTCAGGAGGTTTGAAAGTTGGTCCGCCAAGACTCATTGAGCTCGCCGTCTAAGAAACGATATCAATCATAGCGAGAATGAATTGATGATATGTCAAAAAGGTGTTATTGCCTTAGTACCACCAGGATCCAAGGTCACTATAAATTCTGGAGTATAGTGGAACTACCTGATAACAACTCACTAACTGCGGACCAAAATCTTTTCCTACTATGGCAATGAGTGCCCTTAGTCGTTGAACATAGTTCCTTCCCACTCCTTCCACTCACCCAAATTCTCTTCGGATCCTGAGCCTAGAGTATTTGTGGAGATAACTGAAGACACAGATATTCTCTGCTCCGGCTAGTAGATGCAGTTGGAAACTGCTTGCCACCTTTTGATTCCGTGCACCTCTATGAACAAAAAGGCGAGATCGTGAAGACTTCTCTGACGCGTTTCCGCATTGCTGGATTTGATTTCTTTCTGGTTTCAGAAAGCTGTTGATCCAACTATTCACTAATATATTTACGTTTTCCGTCTGTGAAAACCTCTAAAATGTAAATATAGTAACTGCTGATACCATCGGTAGAATTCTAGAAGCCAAGCTCCTCGTAACTTGGAATGCGTGGCTCAAAGTACCATTACTTTTGACTTCCAAATCTTCTCCTCCTTAAGCTTTCCTTTTCAGAAGACCTTCGGTCTTGGCGACAATGAAAATCCGGCGGACAACGAGGCTTTCATGAAGATCTGGCCAACTGTTCAGGAGTTCTTCCACAAATTGGTTGGTGAATAATAAGTTTCCGTATTTATAACTGCCTCTATTGATTCTTCTAGAAGAAAACCCTGTCTCCGATGAAACATCGAAGGAAATGCCCATCTCTACTCGATTCTTTTTCGTCCACTAGTATGTATGATAAGCTAATATTTCCTTGAGATGCTAGGAAAGCTAAAACCTCCTTGACGTAAAGTAAAAAGTGCCCAGAAGATGACCCTATGCAAGACAGTTTTTTGCTATCTTCTTCTTGTTCCCCTTTCTGACGACCTCCGTTCCTTACAAGGTCGATCCAGCCTTGAAACGTAAAGTTACCTCGTGCGTTACAATCCAAATTTAATTGTTTGGGTGTAACACCTGTTTCATGCTACCGGACTGGGTCACAGCATTCACTTGGATGGAACTGATAGTATTTCTAAAAAGTTCGTTCACTAATTTATTAACGCGGGGATGGGATTCGTTGACCCCCCCCCCCCCCCCCCCCCC